CCAAACTAATATCTACTTATCTCATAATAATATATTATATGCTATAAATTTGTAATATCGAAGGAAGGGGAATACATCTGGAACAAGAAATTACTCGCACAAAAACTGTAACTTTAAGCACGATATCCGCTTCTAGAAATCGAATCCAAAAAGAAGAAGAAAAAGAAGAAGAAGAAACTCACGAACTTACCTGCTATGGCTCTGTTTTCGCTTGGAGTTGAGAGAGAAAAAAAGAACCCAAAATGGAAGAGACTCCGTCTCTGATATGGCTCGTGAAATTGAGTATATCCGGGAATGGAATGGACGGATTGATGCAGGCTCAAGTCGAGTTCGGGGCGATCCGTCTTGATGAAATTGAGGCCCAAGATTTTCCATTTTCTTCGAAAGAATTCTGCCCAGAAGAAAAGATTATAAAATCTGCTCAACAGTTTATGAGAATTATTTGTTAGAGGGTTCTGCGTTCACATACAGGAAAAAATTGTAAAAATATTTATATATTAAAAAAAAAAAACTTAAATAGTATAAAGAATCAGCAGATATTTAGGTATTGGTTAAATCTCTAATTTGCTCGCTTGATTATTGTACAGACATCTCAGTTGGTCTTAAATTAAAAAATTTTTTGATATAGTTCTTAAAGTTTCAAAATTTATTTTTCAGTTAGTCCTTGGTTAAAAATAACTTATGTTTCCATTACTTGATGGCTACATATCACTTTAATAATGGATATATTAATTATTTTTTAATAGAATGATCAACTTGAAACTAAATTTAAAAATTGTAAAGACTAAATTAAAGATTTTTTTAATTTAAAAATTAAATTAATGATTCGTACAATAATTAAATGACCAAATTAAAGATTTAACTTTAGGTATTTTATTGTGATTAGGCTAGACAATCATAAAAAATTAAAAGTATAATAAATGTACTTTGAATATAATATGTATTTATAACTCTAAAAACTCCCCAATGTATTGTAACTTCATGAGAATTCATGGAGAAGCATTAATTCCAAACAGGACATTTAAATCTAGCCAGGTGCGATGTCATTTGTCAGATTGGAGGTTGTGTTTAGCTGATAGGAGGTATGTTGTGTTTAGATTAGTCCCTCGCATAAATGCTCAAACATAAGCAACCAGTGGCACAAGTTTTCAAACAGCCATTAGCCATGCATGCAGAAATCCAAGAGATTTTCAAATTTTAAACCAACTACAGCATCATTACTCACCATGTTTAAAGATGCCAAATATGGTGATCTTTCAAGTTAAGTATGGCACACATTGCCAACCACCCTGAGAAATTTCAATCTCCAAATGCTTCAAATTATGAAAGAGGGGAGAATTATTCAGAGAATGATCCCCTTTAAGAAGCTGCCGGTGAGAAATACTAAATATAACTATTAAATCAAATAAACTAAATTTAGAAAGATAGAGAGAATAAAGCTACCATATTATCAAGACTCTCTAACTCTAGTCTCACTATTAGAGATGCCATTGAGAAGCATAACCCACTACCACATTTTAAATGTATATCTATGGGATGGGCCATGGCTAAATATGAAAAAACCTGTAGCAAAATGATTTAGCCACAGAAATGCCTTCCATCAACAAAATGTTTCTTCAAAGTTGGAATTTCACGTCAGAGAACCAAAATTACACCTACAACCCAAGAAATTAGACAGAAACTATAAAAGTTCAAAAAAATAGTCCAAAATGAGAAACTCAAGAAAATACAATCTGACATGTGGCTGACCCCCTTGGAAACATTAACATCTGCTTAAAAACATCCAACTCCAATTTTGATGGCCTCAGTGAACTGCCCTGAATCCAAATTGGTCGGTCACTAGGGCAAATGATCATCTTCTTTAAGACTGTTCCACGCTTCAGAAGATACCCTATTACTTGCAGGTCACCATCCCAACCTTCAAAATTTCTAATGATGACCTCCTCAAGGTGTGAGGAAAAGCACCCGGGAACATGATCTGGTTGATGCCACTCAGGGTAGAAATTTCCTGGATTCTGATGACAAAAACAAAACCGATATATATAATAGATGTATTTTGCTCAAAAGCACACACGTGTAAGCAAACACAGGAGCAGTTAGGTGGGATACACAAACACATAAATAGTCATTGAAATCCAAGAATTGAACGCACAGATCTGACAGTATTCGAAAATCTAATAAAACAATCATAACTCACCAGGGACAGAGATGCTAAATTTGGTGATCGTTCAAGTATGCATGTCATATGCTGTCATTGCCAGCCACCTTCTAAAATTTCGATTGTCAAATGCTTCAAATTATGAAATACTGGTACATTCTGATAATGATCAACTTCAAGAAGCTAGAAATTGAGAAATATTATTAAGTAACTACAAGTCAATGAAGTAAACGAATTAAACTTGGCAATATTTATTGAGAGAGAGAAAGAGAGAAGAAACTTACATCTTTCGTTAATCCCAATAAGTTTAGTCTACTTATGTGAGAGATGTTTTCAAGAAGCTTAACAAATACATCAGCACTCGGTGAGGGATTGATTTCAATATGAGCAGAAACTAGGTTGGGTGAGTTCTTCACCGTATAGCATTTCCTCCTTGCATCTTCAATTGAAATATGAAGATCTGTCATGTTTGGAGCATCAACAACAATACTATGGTCCATAGTTTCTGGATATCCCAGGCAATCTTGTATTTTTAAAATTTTCAATGATGGTGAAGAAATATATGATAGTGAAGAAATTCCAAGCGATCTTGAATTCCAAGGGGTTGTTCTTACAAGTAATTCATCTAGAAATTGGGAACCAGAGAGTAGCTTCCTCAAAGAGTTGTCTTCTAGAAACATTATCCCTTGAAGCCATAGAATCTTCAGACCATTTAAGCACACCAATTCAGGAACTTGTAAAGAGAGAATTCCACATAGTTTTAGAACTTTAAGCCTTCCACAAGTATACAGACAAGGAGGCAAGGCAACTGGCTCTAAACCACGGACAAGGATATCTAGCTCCTCTACATTAAGTGCAATGGCAGTAGAAATCCATTTAGAAACATGCAATGGAAGATGTTGATGATGGAAGTCACGGCACCAGCACTGGAGTATAAACTTATTGATGAAAAGAGCATCATGGCGACCAAGGACTCCATCCACATACTTCTCAAAACCTTGTTCATTTATCCTCCTATTTGTCCCAGAAACTCCAGCTTCTATGAATTCAAGCTCAGAGATTGAAGTCCAAGCAAATTTCCACCTTTTGGACAAGACACAGGTCCTAACTGCTTCTTTGGTTGGAAGAAAAGACAGTATGTGAGTGCGAAGCACGTTAGGTAAGGCACTGATCCTATCATAAACATCCTCATCCCCATCATGCTTTTGATGCTTTGAGTTGGATATTCTGGCAGCTCCACCAGCCATTTGCCAGAAACAGAACAGGGGCTAAACAGAGTCAACCACACCTGAAATGGGTTCAAACAAAATCCAAACAAATGTTAGTAGGGTTTATCATTGACTGAAGATTTCTATTAAACCAAAGCGAAAAAGCCTAGTGATTTCAGACAAAATTGTAACTACCTCTGGAAGTACTGTGATCATTATTAGGGTTTTGAAAACCCCATCAGAAATGAAATTTTTAGAGCAAAATATACAACAATAAACTCAATATGCAACAAAATTGGTGAAAATTTGTTGTACCAATAAGTTACATAAACACCCAATTGTGAAAGTTGTGAAAGGAATAAGTGTAACTTTGACATTGATATGATTCTCTTCACCAAGAATTGAAAGAAGAAAAGAATAAAAAACACGAAACTCATACTTATCGGAGGAAGCTGAATGAATTCATTGGGAAGAATTACAAAGAAGATACGCACTAACTAGCTTTACTGCAGCAGAAGCAGAAGCAGAAGCAGAAGCAGAGAGTGTGTCACAACTCTGGTATCCTGTGCTTTTGATCTGTGAAACAGAGAAAGAAATTCCACTGCGACTGCGTTTTTCACACAGCAGAGCCTGAAAAATGTAAAACCATCTTTTGTGGGCCACGCAAATAGCATTGGCTATGCATCATTTATCCACATAAATAAAAATACTTTAATGAATGAGTATGATATTTTGCAATATAAGTAGTATTGGGTTATAAAACATTAATTAAATAATAAATAATTTTTAATTTTTTTAATTTAATAATTAATGCTTTTGCAGTTGGACTTGAAAGCCTTTGAGTCGCACAACCCATTTTCATAGGTAAATTATGTCACGCGATGGTTTAAGTTGAAACTTACCATCTCAAAACAGGGGCTGTTTTGCATTTACGCCTGATGGAGATGGTTGGGTGAGCTTTCTGTGTTTTATCCATCTCCCCCATTGGGCATAGATCTCATCTTGCGAGACGACTGTACGGAGACTATGTTCCTTTGAAATTAAGCTGGGTAGTTAGCTTCTGATGTACCAAAAAATATATATATGTATATATGTCAAGATTTTTTTACTTTTAGAAATTTTTATATACTTGGATTTTGTGGATAAGGGATCTGAATGCGTGAGGTTCTCACAAAATGTGTCCTTTAACAGTTTTAACGGTTTAACCAGACATTAAAAGGTAAAGAAACTTTCAATAATAAACCCACTGAAGGCTGAAGCCTTCTCAAGCTGACTAGACTATAAACCAAGACAGAGAGTGAAAACACAAAAAGAGAACACAACTCTCTACTCTGTGGCCAACGATTTAATGCATCATTTGAGCATGTAACACCTGCATAATGAATCAGGTTCACGGTCGGGATAGCTGTGCGACAAAAAATGGACAAGAGGGCATGCCCCTAATTGATTCAAAGACTCCAAGAAAAAGCATGTATCTGAACAACTAAAAGAGATAATTACATAAAATAAAGAAAAGTCAGACTACCAAAATGCATTCTAACAGTTTACTGTTTCTCCGACCCATATATGCTGGGAAATATAGAGGCCCAGGTTGACAGTCTCTGATTATGTTTTTCTTGGTGTTGCAGGCAGGTGGTATCCTGATTATGTTAATCAACCTGCAAAAGCAAATGATGAACACCAGAAACAAGATAACCAGATAATGACACAAGTATGTAATTGCCTGGAATGTCCTAACCTAATGAGAAGTTTAGTTGCCTATGGCTTGGAGAGGGAGAAATTTCATTATCAACTCTTTACCGACGCCATTGACCACGGTGAGAAGCAAGGACAAGGGAAACAGAAGAGCAGAAAGGTACATGATTTACTTCTTATCATACTCGAGTCTTCTGATTGCACTAAAGCCCTCAAGAAATTTTACTGCATTTGCTTGTCTCTCCATCAAGGTAGAAATTGCCAAACGTAGAAATTGCCAAACTGGAAGGAAACGTCATGTAGCTACCCCTACTAATGGATACATACCAAAAATTCTAGTTCAAAACTTAGTGAAGTTGCTCACAAAAGGAGAATTATGTTTCCATCAACCAAGGTCAAGGCACATGATTGAAGAGCATGAAGCATTGATGGCATGACTTGGGCTAAATGAACGACCAGTATATTATTAAAATTATGTGTTTACATCAAAAATTACAAAATTTTAAAATTATGTTACGTATCAAATATTTTTAAATAGATAGATATGATTTAACCATGTCAAAAATATAATTCTAGGTCTCATGACAGATCAAGTGCTACATGGGAAACAAAGAGCCAAAAAGATGAGACTTTTGATTGATTATTTGCCTATTTAAATCAGGTTAGGATTGTTTTCAGCTGGTTTTTAGGAGTTGATTTCAATTAAAGATGTAAGCTAACTGATAATGGAACAAATTGTGAAATATAAATGGAATTCTGATTCAGTCAACTGCTCAAATATCCAACTTCTTCAAGAAACTGCTCATGTTCGAGTAACCACATGGAGTGGAGAGTTGCAAGTGAGGAAAAGGAAAACAAAAGGAAAATTTTTTATCATTCAACACATGATCAACTCTACACACAATTTGACAAATTTTCAAACTTCCAATTTTTCAGCGATTACTCACTTTAACTTGCAAATTTCGGTTTTCAACACAATGCCTAGTAGATTTAAGTTATTTTTCATCATTCCAATAGTCAAATTAGTTTGTACATTCACTTTAACATTTTCGTTTCGTGTAAATAGATATCAAGCTTTTAAATTTTTGCAAAATACCATTTGTTTTCCTTTTGATGGTTAACGGGCTAATATTTTATGTTTTACATGATCATGCACTGTAAATGCATTTTATGGTATAAAGAATAAAAAATGGTTAATTGTTTGGAAGATCT